TAAGCATTTCACTGCATATCGTACTGTGTATGACTGTGTACGTGACAAATAAAATTTGAATTTGAATTTTGAAACAAATGAACAAAAGGAAACAATTCTGATACATATATTATCAGATTGAGGTCAATACAGGCAGTAAAACATCCTATTTCCTTGGTACAACATTCACCTGAAACAGTGGTCCGATGTCTACATCGAAGCCCAGGTCTGCAAACCCCGTGGCGATAACTTTGGCACCTCTGTCGTGACCATCCTGCCCCATCTTTGCCACCAGCAATCGAGGATTCCTCCCCTCATGGCTCTTGAACTCTGCAACTCTTTGTTTGTTTTTTTTATGGGGGGGAAGAAGAATTTTACTTGAATCAGCAAATCGAGAGTCTAGCATGTAAATTATAAAGGTCATGAAATAAATTGTTATTATTTTCTACCTGTTGTTGGCCAGAGTGATCTCTTCATGCTCTCCGAACTCAGTGCGGTAAGCCCCGCTCACCATCCTGGTGCTGGCCTTGTGTTCACCAAACACCTTCTTCATGGCTTCAGTTATCTCACCAACAGAGCATCTGCAGAAAGGAGCAGATTCGAGTGATAAATAATCATTAAGCACTATTTTAAGATATCCACACTCAATACACTAATAGCCTGTTTTTTAATTATAGCATAACAAATTTTATCATTGTATGCTCATTGTGAATTATGGGAGCTCTCGTGTCGTCACTGATCCGCAGAGGGTAATAAAAAAGCAACAGATACGTAATTTTACTGCTAATTTTAAATCAGCTGTTGAAATGTAAATTAGCGAGGCACTTGTGTTTATATGAAAAAACATATTGGAAGGAATTTAAATGTTTTTTTTAGAGATAACCGGATATGAAGCCGTTATAAGCGTTCCCAGTCAGGCTATCCCCCTGCCTCCAAGGAAATAAGCTGCAATTAGCACGTGAACTCTTCACATAATATTGCACCCAAGTGTTACACAGTTCATTATTACATTCTCAAGACCAGAGAGTAAGGTTTCTTACCGGCTTCTTAACCTAATATCAGAGTAACTAATGACTATTAAATAACCTGCTGCAGATTATCAGAACACACCAGTCAGACCCTGGTATTGTAGAAGCTGTAGCACATGAACAGGCTGCAGGTGTGTAGAGATGACATTATATATATCGATTATATTCTGTGTTTTACACCTTTTAACCTTCTATTCCTCGTGATTTGGTTTGTCACATAACAGTTTTGGGTATGAAAGGAAATTGAAAACCGGTGCTAAAAGTTACCCAAAAACAAAAACCCCTTGAAGAAAAAGCACAGAGTGGATTACAGTGTAGTGGTAAATACATTCACACAGGATGGGTGCATTTAATA